ATGCCTGACCTATGATAATCTCGAATATCATATTACTCGGTCTGTACATCAAAGTGATCAGAATAATGTAAACGATGTGCATAAGAATGTAAACATTATACCGACTAACCTTGAACTGCTGCTCTTTGCCATTTTTAATTGTCAGGCACGCATATATTACTGTTACTTAAAAAACTTGCCTTTTTAAAATACATTCCGAATAAACAAATTTTTATAATGAATTGAATTTTAAGTTCTATAAAATACGACACAAATTTCCAATCTAAAGATTCTATTATAATAAATTTGCGTACAAAAAAATCTTCAGTAATTTTAAAAGCATAAATAAGTGTGAATAAATCAATTGTTTTTCTGACAAAAAAAAATTGAATTTACATTAAGTAAAAATTATATTTTATTATTCATGCTATATTTTTTGCTATTAATAAGATATTTTGGAAATATATATATATATATATATATATTTTTTTTTTTTTTTTTTTTTCATCGCACTGATGTTAGAAAAGTAAAAAACATCAACATTCGTCAAAGTTTTATTTAAATTTATGACATATGTCATGTTTGTTCATCATATACATTCATTATTTTTGCGATGAGTCGAAAAATAACATGTTAGATGCTTACATTAGTAACGCATAGTAAATTTTGATTACGACGATAATTTGTTCAAATTTATATTGTGTAAGTATAATACAATGAATATATGCGTAAAAGGTAAAAGCTTTAAACCATAAAAAAAGTAGCCGATTATCATAAAAAAATAATAAGCAGAGAAAAAGACATTCCTCAACCGGTTTTACCTTTTCGCATGCATGTCACAAGAGAAACGAGCATAAATCCGGTCGAAAGCAGAAGGACCGGTCGACGGAATTTGAATACCTTCATTTCAATTCGGGTTCCGATCAGATTACGACCAGTACGTGATACAAAAAATAGTTTGGAAATTATTTAGGCTTACATTTTGATTGGTCTATTTCTTCGTGCTACACTTTACGATTGTTGGTCGAATTAAAATAGTAAAATTTTAAATAGTTAAATAAAACTAACGACGATATAATTATTGTAGCCAAGCATTTAAAACGTTTTTAATTTACCTTCTTGATTAAATGCTTATTCATAGATGTATTCTATTAAACATAAATTTATTTTCTTTGCTGCGATTAGTGACACTTAATTGCAATTTTTTCCAAATAGTGCTTTTTTATTTTTTATTTTGTATCTTTTCATTTTTTTCGGTACAAGGAATTTTCTAAAAAATTTACTTACTATAAAATTACATCTACTGTAAACACATAAATCGAAAGAATGCGAGTTTTGCAAAAATTGTTGTACTTTGACAAAAGAATGTTTTCTTTATTAACTGCTGTGTGTCACCTGACATCTACGTGACAAGCACGTAAGAGAGTGCATGTATAAACGATGTTTGATGAATCGTAGTTGCTACCTTCAGAATCGGGCGATTCATATTCATTCCCGTTCTTTCTCATTGTCTCAGTGTAGGATATTTTTTTCTCTTTTTGCTCAGACGAAGGCGCCGTTGAGGTCGAATCTTCTCAGCCTTATCGCCTTTCTGGTTCGAAGCAGTAATGATAACCGATATTTATCCTCGGCTTCCTCTCTCTCTCTCTTTTTCTTTAGCTCTAATGCTCTCGTCGATCACGGAATCTTACTGAACAAAGTTTAATCGTGCCGAAACTATACGTGCACGCGCAATGTCGAAACAGGAAATAAAAAGTTGATTTTAAATTTATCTAGAAATTAAGAGATGCTAAGTACTTATTTCTATATTTGATTGTTTAATATTTGCTAATATAACTTCAAATGCAAATTTAAATACAAATATCCTAAGGTAAAAAAAAATGATATGCTAATTGAAGAACTGTTGATCATTAATTTGCTCGCTCAAAAATAATAAAGAGAAAATAAATGTTAAAATTTAAAACCAAATAAATTATCTCTTAATAGGTTTTGAGCTCAAAAGCTGCTTGTTATTATATAATTAGCGTGTCATTTTACAATTCTTCAGGTTATTTTCCGAGTATCAAAAGAGTTGCACTTGGTTATACTTAATTAACTGTGGCGCCTCAACTTTTTTTCATTTTATCTGATGTAATACCATTCGAGAATCACGTGGCTCTAAGTTTATTTTTTCTTTTAAACTACAACGTGAGAAATCAGTAGACAAATCGAAAGACTGATAAGGTATATCAGTCATTTTTTATTCGATGTCATATTTTCCTTTGTCTGATAATGTCATTGTTAATTTATTAATATTACATATAAAAGAACGAAATACATTCATTTAAAGATTTAACTATTTATCTAAGATCTAAATATTTAATAAAATATAAAATATAGTAATTCCTCAACGAATAAACTCATTAAAAAAACTCAATTTAGAACTTTATTAAAATAAAATTTAATTAAAATAAAATTTAATTGATATTATTTATTTGACAATAATATCAACATTTTTCTAATATTAACATCGATCCCTTATCCAATAAGTTAAAATACAGCTCATAGAAAAGATATCAATATTTTAATATTATGTGACAATTCAAAATTGTATTTAGATTAATCAAAAATTTTTTTTCACTATATATTCGAATATCCAGTCTGTAGGATTTTTTCTTTTCTTTAAAAAAATATTTTTTTGCGATAATCGGCAAACAGGTTTTCTCCGGAAGCGAGTACTTCAACATGCACATATGTGGAAACACATATAAGCGAATAGGAATTATATGAATGCCATGCTTCATATACACCAGTTCGATAGAATCCTGCGTGGGCGTATGCGAGGGACGATTGACCGGAAAACACGCAAGTTTTCTTGCGGGGGCACGAGAGCACGCGGCCACACGCACGCATACGACGCGTGAATGTCGTTCAGAAAACCGCTAAGCTGGTTTCTAGAGAGAATATCTGGACGTGGAGCATATTCGACGCATGTTTCTCTCGAATTTAATTTGAATTTTCATCTGAGACTTTTCTTCTAATCGAAAAAGTTATCAAGCTTGATGCATCGAAGATATTTTTTTTATTATTTTATTTTTATTATTGTTTACTAAAATTAAAAAGGCAAAGAATTGGATAAAATAAAAACGAGCAAAGAATTTTTTAAGATAACTGTCAGATCATACTTATTTTCATTCATCTTTTGTCAACTTGCTCCTAATTAATTGTATCAAAACAATTGTATTTTATTTGAAAAAATTCTTAACGCGTTTGGATTAGACAAGGCTGGATTAATGTGGATGTCTAATTCATTAGTGTCATGATATATAATATGTAACACGAGTGCGAATTATGCAGACTGTCGTCTGCGGAAGATATCTCGGGTCTTGTTTGTAAACATAGAATCCCCTTCGTGAAACGATAATAAATATGGTAAACGTGCGTACAGTTATTTTGGCCCGTTGTGAAGAAATTCCAAATATACACGTGTAAATGATTAGAACCCACTAAACTAAAATTCACACGTTACTTTTATTCTAATTATCTTCCGTTTAAAATATCACAACTTTATGATAAAATACGTAACAAGTTTGCGATTAATTATTGCGCGTGGCGCAATTATATCGGTATTCTTTTGCCAGCCAACAAAAATATCGCATCGATAAACAAGAAGCAAGAGTTCAATTATAGACAACTCGTAAAAAAATGTATTCTTGGCATTTTCCGCTATTGCAAATATAATAAGTTAATGAGATCAGAACATGATCTTTTATTTTTGTCTTATGTTTCAATCTCACGTTTTCTTTTCTAAAATCAACCCATTAAAATTTAGCTTTACTGAGAGGAAATAAAATTTCAATAAAATAATATTTTTCTAGAAGTACAAAAAAATTTATATTTACATAAATTAAATTTTCGCTATAATCCAAGTTCGTTTATGTCACATTTGTTTCAAAATCTGAGTTTCATCTATCCTTATTCAATATGCCATCTGTACATTAGTACAATTAAATCATAGCAGTGATATAAATACTCTTGCAAGTCGTACTCTTGATACATGTCACACGTGTCAAATTTTTATGAAATTCGCGATTATAAATCATTCCCGGCCATAAGAGAAACATCCAAGTTTATTACAGACTTAAGCGTCATTTCGGAGTAATGCGTCTGTGTTTTCGGAGTAATCCTAAAATTACTGCACCGTTGAGCTCATTTGGGATTTATATAAGCTCAATTTTTAATATTATAGAATTCTTATTACAGATATAAAAAAATATATTTTATGTACAGTTACAAAATGCCAGATATAAAAAATATATTTTATGTATAGTTATCAAGTTATATAATTTTATTTTAAGATATATTGATATGAAAGAGAGGCTATTTTATATTGAATACATCTGAGTTTATTGGAAAATTATAATATCAATTTCAGTAATTTAAGCATTTGAAGAGTCTGTCTTAATTCTAGGAGTCGTTACAAAAATAATTAATTTCACAATTGTTATAATATGATTTATTTATTATATTATCGATTCGTTTCTCAATATTATTAATTATTATTAAAAATTTTTAATTTTTAAAATTATATATTAATTATTGAAGAAAAATCTGAACTAGTGTAGAAAAGATTATAACATAAGTGTGAGAATTTTAATATATATATTTTTTTAAAGAAAATATTTTTTGGCATTTCAAACGTGCGTTCAAACTTCATAACTTCAATTGTCGCTACGATACAGAAAAATTTTCTAATCCGAATAAAATATACTTTGCACTTAATTCTATTCGTATTTTCTGTAACTTTATTGAATAGATTTTTTTATTTATTAACGTGATGAAAAGAGCTTTCTTTCGTTAATTATTAAACTCGAATTCGACATTAATCGTGATAGTACATTTGACGAATCATTTGCATCGTAAGTGGTCACGACGGAATCATTCAACCTCGCAAGACCCAACGTGTGAGAGATGTGCATATCGCCTACGCGTGATATGTTAATAAACCAATAAAGAACGATAGAGAATAACGAGTTACTTACTGTTTCTCGCAGTAATGACAGACCCTTCCGACACGACGGGGAATGAATTAAAGAAATCTTCGTGTGGACGTTTCCTCTCGTTGCAGTTACCACCGACGTTTTCTTTCTGACGAGAGTATCCCCCTGTTTGCTCTTTTTATTCCGCAACTTTGGGGCAATCGAGTTGTCAGTTGAAGTTACGTCTCTTTCCCTCCGACAAATCTCTCATACGACCGTACATAACATCGCGATATTCGAATATATCGCGATTTTTATTAGATGAACGGCGTGTGGAAATGTGTAAATACGCGGGTCGTTTAAAGGGTCAACGGAATTGTCGGGCGGTTCTCTCTTCCTCTCTTCCTCTCACATGTTAATAATCGCTGTGCAGCGCATCGCACGCCTATCCCTCATCGACTCTGTCGCACTCGACCGACAGTGGCGTCTTATCTTAATCCGTAGTCATTCGATCGGACATTCGTCGACCGATACGCGAAAAGTCGCGAGATCGCGATATCGTCCGAAAGGAGCGAGAGTTCAAATTCTGTCTCGCGGACGGCACAAATCCACCGTCGATCGCGCGGTACCAATCTGTCTTCGACCACGTCCGACGCGCGTTTGAACGCAGGGCGCGAGGCGCGAGCCGGCCGGCGGCGCGAGCGCGCGCATGCGCGCCTACTGTCATGCATGACATTCACGTGATCGCGGCGCGCGAGTCACGTGCTTCTTGCATTCTCGCCTGCAGCCGACGGGTTGATTTTCTCCCGCTATAAAGTTGCGGAGAAGCGGGCGCGATTTTAATATATATACCGATTCTGTCTGTGGCGCCGGCCTTTTGACATGTTCCATTTTATTGAGGGAACATCATCTCCCCTTCCCCCCTCGAAAATTGCCGTGCTCGAGCTGCGCTTTATCGCGAATATATGATATACGCGCTTGATCTAACTCGGTCCCTGGAGTCGACCTTGTGAACTCGCACGTGTAACTTGACGTAACCGGCGCCGAATCTCCTCTCGACATGTTTCCGTGGAATTTACCGCGCATAAACGAGAAGCGCTTGTATATTAATAGCACGTCTGTAACATAAAATATGCATGTCGCGATAAACAGGTGTCGTTGACGTACCGGACTGAGTTGGAAATAATGACAGTGCGCATACTGATATTTTTAGTTTTAACTGAGTCGCGCGATTATCGCACTGCATAAAATTATCTTTCGGCGCTGCAAAAAATTTTGCGAAAATAAAAATTTTATTTGCAATTTAAATTTCCGTACGATAAAATGTGCATATCCTCTTTTTATAAAGAGATATACAAATAAATTTGTAACAGGACGCGAGATAACAAATAAACAAGCGGCAGAAAATATTACGATTTGCAGCATCGGGTTTTTTTACAGTGGAATAAAATGAGATAAAGAGTAAAAAGATATCGCGGAAAAGATTATTGAAGTGCCACGCTTAATGGCGCCAACGATTAAAATGTCGATTCATCAAACGATACGGCACGACACGTGAACACGCGTCACGTTAACATAATTTCTAAAAGATTCATCGCCGCGTAATTTTCCATTTAAGAAACGGCCGACGAGAACGTGACAGCGCTCGAAATGAGAACAGACGATCCGTATTGGTCGTTGCAATTTTTGCAAATTTTTCCCATCCGAGGAATATATTATATCAGTCGAGACGGACTTGTTTTTGCTGTCAATGATATCAAGAGGATATCGCTGAAAAAATGCGCGAAATGATACCCTTTAAGTTTAAGTTTAAAGTTTAGCCCCATATTTTACACTGACAAAGTACACAGAAAATTTTTTGGGCAAAAGACTGCTTTCGTGCTTATTTAAAAATATATTTACAGTGGTTGCACGTTAAAATCACGTGCTAGGTTGTGATCGGATATTATCATGCAAATTGAGCCTGATATTCATGTGAAGATATATGACAGTCATGTGTTGTATAGATTAGAAATTATAATAGCACCTTTCAAAATTAATTAGCAAAACGTATTCCGTGACTGAACATTTTTAATCTCATAATATTCATTATATTTCGTTACGGCAGTAAAATAGAAAAAATTTAAATAAAGATTTTTAATTTATGAAAGAAAAATTTTTTGCTCCGCACGCGCAATAAATATAAAATGCTACTCCTCTTTTTATTCAATTATAAAATAAGCGTTTTGGTAGAAAAAAAATTTTAGACTGATAAAAATACAAAAAAGGAAAAGAAAAATATAATTTGGCAAATAAATGATAATATGTTTTATGTTTTACTTTTCTAATCTATGATCATAATCAAAGTTATTGCTTAAGTAATTTATCTGCTATACAATGAAGCGTATAATGTATATATAATTGGTTTGTTACTACATCAATATGTATATCTGCATCTTCTTAGAATGTTTATGAACATATATAAAAAGAACTTTGAAATCAAAAAAATTCCGCGAATGATGTAACATATAGTTTAGATTAACAGATGATTGAATAAAGAGGAATATTCCCAGATAGACACAATGTTGTGAATTAAACTGTTTATCGAGTTATTCGTATAAATTGCATCTCGCTATATCGCTGTGTAATACGCACTAAAGGTATTTACGTTTTAATGAATGTCATTGAATGATGCATGCATACATGAGAGATATCGGTGCTCGTGCATTCTGTGAGTTGAGAGAGAGAAACAAGATTTCATTGAGAGACTGAAAAACATAAAGAAATCTACAAATATCGATGTTAATCTTAAAAGCGAAACTTGTATTATAATAGTAAAACTTTAATGATCTTTGGACAGATAATCTATGAGGGAAAAGAAAAGTGTATGTTTTTTCATATGAATCCTAAAAATATCGCGTAATAAGAGGATAGAGTAAAAATACAGTCAAAAAACATTCACGTGTTAATAATTAAAGAAAGTCATTGTTTTTTTCTTCATAAGTCTCTCGTTCTCTTACAAGTAGAACACAGTGGTAATATGTATGCATTTCATATATATCATTCTGGCCTATTATTGCATATCTGCTTTACATGAAAATATTGCAATATCGGCTTTAAAGCAGATGCAGCAGCGCAGAGAAATTATTAGCTCTGTGTCCATGTCCTGTCACAGATAATCGATAGCACTTTACTTAAAATGAATTGAAAACTCCCATAAATACAAAGAATCACCCCATCACCTAGAATAATTGTTAAGACTATTGCAATTGCGATTGTGGTGTTCATTTTCAGCTATATACGATCGTACTATCTTCATATATATTTGCATAATTGTTTCTTTTTGGAATTACGACGAAATAATATTTTATATTTAATATACTCGTATATCTGAAACAATTAAAAACGGCGTTTTTAATGAGATCAGTATCTTCGATGTTCGCCATTCATAATATTCAGCTTGTTTAGAAAAATTGTTATTTCTCGAACGACATTATATGTATCTTAAAGTAAAGCTAATTCAGTTATTATTTAATAAATTGTTTTTCGATGATAATTTGCAGCTACGTATTATACCCGGCCCTGACAATGCGTACGAATTTTGCTTTCACAGTTAATTGTAATAAACATAGATATCTTTTGATATCTTCTTTTTCTCAAAAACAGATTGACATTAATAAAATAGCTATATTGTTTCGGTAAAAAGAGGCTGTACAGTATTTGAAAAATCGCTCTATCGAATTATAGGAACCCCATTGATTACATTTACGAAATATTAAAGAATAGATAATCATGAATTTTATATACAATACTTACACTAAACTATAAATGTTATATGCATCGTAAGTAAAGTCCGAAATATAAAAGAAGATCTATATTAACAATTAAATAAACTTTGCAATAAAACAATAGACTACATACAAATATATTTCTCTTGATTGTTTCTTGAAATAAACATACAAAAATTGTTCACATATCATGAATTTTTCAATAATTAATTATATTATTATTTCATATAAAAGAAACATTTATATTTGTACATAAATATACATTTTATCACAAGTAGACTTTACTTATAATGCATATATCAAATAGATAAATTTATATTATAGCTACACACTATATTATGTGTGAGACAGTCAATTAAATTATATTTTTTCTTCGATGATTTTATATACTTTCAAGATCAAATATTTTTACTTGTATTTTTAATTTTTTTCACGCAAAATATGTGCCAATATAAATTATGTTTCCCATATGTATACAAATACATTGCAATTTCTTTTAATACTGACTAATCCTAGGAACACACTAATCCACACATCAAATTCGATGTAAGAAATGCATACTACATTTTATATCGATATATACATCATGATTAATATGCATCTCTCTATCTCTGCTTGGACTGAATTTAAATAATATCACGTTTAAATGCTAGAAATAAGCTATTACACAACGGCCATTTCTTTTCTTTAAGTAGTTTAGATATTATTTTGGAATAAAATATTCTATAAGTGCATATATTTCGGTCACACACAAATACGCGCGCGTGCGCTTACTGTTACTTTTGCACAGTTTCATTCTAATCAATTAAAAGTGGAAGAACTGATGAAGTCAAATATGAAACAACTCGCGCCTTATGTCCGCGACAATGCGCCGCATGTTCTCGGTCTCTGACAGCAACAGAGACTGCGCAATCTCGCCGCGGGACCTAGCTCTTTCGATCACCGTTCTTCGACGCTCTCGCTACCACCGCTTTCCTGCTGAGGTCTTGCGATTTGATATGTAATGAGATACTCGGGATATGCTTGTTCACCCCGATAGACAACATATTCAGGGAATACTAAGCCACCCTGTGATGGCCTACCCATTACGCTATGATGACCGGGAGGAGCATGCGCCATTTTCATCGCCGAGAATTGTAAAAATGATTTACCGAGCGTAACTCTACACAACAGTAAATGTCTGTGACAAATGTAACAACTTCTATCTTTATGCGCGGGACATCCAGTACCGCCACATATACCATAAACATACTGATTGCTCTTGCTGCTGTGCTCCGCGAAATATATACCAGCGCCGAACATTCCGCCAATATACGCGTGCCGCTCATCGAAGCCTTTCTGAACGATAGCATTAATGAATGGACTTCCGTGAAACAACATTCTCTCATTCGCCTGTGATACTGTCGAGCTGGAAGTACCTCTTGGTCCAGTACCAGGAGAAGCGGGAGCAGCGGCGCCGACTTCTTCAGCTACTTCTTGTCTTCTGTGGGCGTAACGTTCCCACAACTTGCGATTTTGAACCTTTTGTATCTAAAAAAATGATTTTTTTAATGAAAAAAATTGCTAATAAAAATATTATTATTATTCTTGATACAATTACATGATAGTTATACGTACTCTAACTATATTGTATCGAGAAAAGATACCGCCAGAGTGGCCATTATCTCTGTGTTGCCTAATAGTACTTTGCATTTCTTCTTCAACAGCCAAGAATTCTTTGTCCTCCGCTAGTAAATCCACTAATAATGTCCCGGGATTTATGGAAGGTTGCCAAAGAGAACCCGCTGCTGTGTTCAATAACTTGTCCATGCCTTTAATTAATTTATGTCTATAACCATAAGCTGATACTCCAACTTGCTTCAAATCCTCGTGACCCATTTCCGCCAGTA